CCTTGAATACCTTGAAACAATTTTACTCTAACGAAACCCCGCTGTTTATGTGAAATAGTCGAATAATCCATCTGGCTATAACTTTAGGTGAAGGAGAGATATTCTGTCGGACATCAGCTTTTGGCCAATCATTTGCTCTGGACAACAGCAACGATAATTCGGTTTTGATCTGTATCTGTATCTGATGAATGAATATGAACTCCATATGAACCTATTTCCTATATTTTGTGTGTTTTAGTACTCTCCAAGCAGAAGTTTGGGTCTGGATTTTTTGTGGCGTGTTTTAGACTTTTTTATCGGGGTTTCTTTTTTGCACTGGAATTTTTTTTCACCCAACCAAACCCAAACCTCTGCTTGGAGAGTAGTGTTTTAGATCAAACGTCATCATAGATCATGATTAGACGCAAATGTAACATAGACCAATCATAACATTAAGAGCTACACATATTTTTTGGTCACTCTACAACCCTCGTGTAGTGGAAAGGGGACAAATGTGACAGGAGGATCGTACAGATTAGAGCCTAATTAATCACCGCAGAGACAGGCCAAGGACACGTCACGCCGCGATGATTCCGTTGCGTAAGTGAAACATGTTCTAAGTGTGGGATGGTATTGTTCGGGACTGTTTGCATTGCATACTTGTAAAGGTGGTTTGCATAAGATGGTCATTCGTGATAATTCTGAAGTTCCCACGTTGACGTCTATTTTTACCATTCCCATTCATGTGTAAATGACGCTGGGCCTTAGTGAGAAGATGCTTGTTTGATCAGTTTACCTAACGACCAGCATTTCAACTGCTATTCTTCTTGTATTCTCTCCGTTTTCTTTGAAGACGCATTTCCGCCGCATGTGTACTGTTCTACCCGGTCCTGATGTCTACACGGCAGCAAGTTTCACCTGTCTTATTCTCCTTTTCATCTTCTTGTTTGTTGGTCGTGCTTAACGTTTCTCTCAAGTGTGATGCGGGAGAAAAGGAGTGTTCAGAAATATGTCAGCCAATGAGCGCTGAGCGGCTAAAGTCAAGTTGACGGCCTAAGGATTGATTTTTCAGTCCGACATCAAAGTATGTTATCGGTACGTTGTCGGTGGCGAATTACGGGACCGACAGCCCGCCGTTGCCACAGTCGGTACGACGACCCGACGACGCCATCCGTCGATCGATCGATCGGCGGAACACGGTCGAGCCTTAAAACACGGTCGGAGTTTTAAAACACGGTCGAGCCTTAAAACACGGTCGGAGCTTTAAAACACGGTCGAGCCTTAAAACACGGTCGGAGCTTACGGCCAGGTTGGGCGGGGATTAACTCTATAGGGGGGAGGGACTCATTAACACCTTCGAAAATGGGATGTGTATTGGCCATTAATCAACTAGTTAGTCAGATTGGACACATGAGTAGTTAATATGATCTATCTCTTCCTAAACACAGAATGCGAATTTGAAACAAACACAAAAGTGATTCTTTTGAATTCCCCTCCTTTGCCTCCAAATCAAATAGTATAAGTCATGAACTGCCCAGTTACTTAGTGTAAAATTTTCCCAACCGTTTATGATGTCTTCTTGTCATAAGGTCTGTTATACATCACGTGAGAAATTGCCCGCATTAAACTTCATGGGTGTTGATTCCACTATGAAGCCTTCACCAAAAGACTCACCTGTTGCATGGCTTAACAAAAGAACTTAAATTTTGCACACCCAGTATTTCCAGCCCTGGGAGGCAATATCATGTTCATTGGGAGGCAATATCATGTTACCAGACCGAAGCTGACCTAACTGAACATATGGTCCATCTATCATAAGTAAATTATAATTGAAAACCATAGTTCAAAGTGCGCAGGACCAAAATGTAGTTTTACTCTAGGCATCGTATCTAATACATGTATCTAATACATGCCTAATATCTCTCTCTACTTATATATCTATATATCTCTCTCTCTATATATATATATCTACACATAACTTTCACTTTCACTGCTATTGCAGTTCAAGCTATAAATAAAGGAAATTCAGAGACAATTGCGGCAGAGGATGTGATGTTTTATTAATTATTTTTACATATCTATTTATCTATATGACAAAATTTTCTCACTTTGAACATATGTTGAGCATGTTCTTAGAGCAATATTAAAAGCATACAAATACAATGCTTTTGAACCCTCCTATGACAGGTTAGATCTGGATGGCCCCAGATGTACAGACATAGACACTTGTGAAATCTTCAGCTTGCTGTAACACAAATGCTATTAGGATGAGCTACATGTCGAATAGAACTGCATGGCACATTGCATTACAAAGGTTGTGCAAAAAGCGAATCTATGAATGGAACAACAGCCATCATCTCAATCTTTGTAATAAAAATTGGGGTGTCTTTACGATCCACCCCACTTCGCCAGCGAAGCCCCCTCACGTCGTTTGGCCAGCCAGCTGAGGCCGTTGCCCAGGGGTTGGCACGTGGAGCCACAACGTGAGAGGCTTTAGGGGATAGGATGAAACGTGTGCTTAGCCACTCTTAAAGTCAAGAGTGCAGCTGCTAAGCCTCACTACCCAGAGCCCCCTAACCCCCAACACAAACACAACACGCTACAGGTGCATTTAATTTACAATTATAAACAGGAGTGGAGACGTACATGTACACAGTTTTCGCCTACATCAAGACAAACACACACAACAAACAAAACACATCAGGTGCATTTAATTTTATTATGGACAGGTGTGAAGACGTAGATTTACACAGTTTTGGCCTACATCAAGACAAAACACACAATGTGCACTTGATGCACATCTAAAGGACAGGAACTAGTATATTGGACCTTCCCTAGATACATACACTCTCCAATATGAACACACACTCCAGCATGCACACACAGTCACACACACATGCACATGAACAAACAGCCAACCATCTGTCTATCTCCTGGGGAACAAAATCATAGTTAGTACATATACAGAGAGCAAACAACCTGTTCATCTCCAGACAAAAAATCACTTTTAGTACAAACAGCCAAACTACCTGTTTATCTTCAGAAGAAAAATCACAGTCATTACAAACAGCCAATCTACCTGTGTATCTTCAAAAGTATAATCAAAGTCAGTACAAACTACTACAAACACTATCAGCCAAACTTCCTGCGTATCTTCAGAAGAAAAAAAGGTGAGGACAAACAGCCAAACTACCTGTTTATGTTCAAAAGATAAATCATGGTCAGTACAAACACAAACAGCCAAACTACCTGTTTATGTTCAGAAGAAAAGGTAGAGGACAAACAGCAAACTACCTGTTTATGTTCAAAGATAAATCATGGTCAGTACAAACACAAACAGCCAAACTACCTGTGTATCTTCAGAAGAAAAATCACAGTCAGTACAAACAGCCAATCTACCTGTGTATCTTCAAAAGTATAATCAAAGTCAGTACAAACTACTACAAACACTATCAGCCAAACTACCTGCGTATCTTCAGAAGAAAAAAAGGTGAGGACAAACAGCAATCTACCTGTTTATGTTCAAAAGATAAATCATGGTCAGTACAAACACAAACAGCCAAACTACCTGTTTATGTTCCGAAGAAAAAAAGGTGAGGACAAACAGCAAACTACCTGTTTATGTTCAAAAGATAAATCATGGTCAGTACAAACACAAACAGCCAAGCTACCTGTGTATCTTCAAAAGTATAATCAAAGTCAGTACAAACTACTACAAACACTATCAGCCAAACTTCCTGCGTATCTTCAGAAGAAAAAAGGTGAGGACAAACAGCAAACTACCTGTTTATGTTCAAAAGATAAATCATGGTCAGTACAAACAGCCAATCTACCTGTGTATCTTCAAAAGTATAATCAAAGTCAGTACAAACTACTACAAACACTATCAGCCAAACTACCTGCGAATCTTCAGAAGAAAAAAAGGTGGGGACAAACAGCAAACTACCTGTTTATGTTCAAAAGATAAATCATGGTCAGTACAAACACAAACAGCCAAACTACCTGTGTATCTTCAGAAGAAAAATCAGTCAGTACAAACACAAACAGCCAAGCTACCTCGTTTATGTTCCGAAGAAAAAAGGTGAGGACAAACAGCAAACTACCTGTTTATGTTCAAAAGATAAATCATGGTCAGTACAAACACAAACAGCCAAGCTACCTGTGTATGTTCAGAAGAAAAATCAGTCAGTACAAACACAAACAGCCAAACTACCTGTTTATGTTCAGAAGAAAAAAAGGTGAGGACAAACAGCAAACTACCTGTTTATGTTCAAAAGATAAATCATGGTCAGTACAAACACAAACAGCCAAACTACCTGTGTATCTTCAGAAGAAAAATCAGTCAGTACAAACAGCCAATCTACCTGTGTATCTTCAAAAGTATAATCAAAGTCAGTACAAACTACTACAAACACTATCAGCCAAACTTCCTGCGTATCTTCAGAAGAAAAAAGGTGAGGACAAACAGCAAACTACCTGTTTATGTTCAAAAGATAAATCATGGTCAGTACAAACACAAACAGCCAAGCTACCTGTGTATCTTCAAAAGTACATGTATAATCAAAGTCAGTACAAACTACTACAAACACTATCAGCCAAACTACCTGCGAATCTTCAGAAGAAAAAAAGGTGAGGACAAACAGCAAACTACCTGTTTATGTTTAAAAGATAAATCATGGTCAGTACAAACACAAACAGCCAAACTACCTGTTTATGTTCAGAAGAAAAATCATGGCCAGTACAAATTACCTGTGTAGCTTCAGAAGAAAAATTAAAGTCAGTACAAACAGCAAACTACCTGTGTATTTCAAGAGAAAAAAATCAGTTAGTACAAACAGCTAGTCCTGACGGATATATAGACACGCATATACACATACACACTGACACACACACACGCACAAGCACAAACATATGCACAAACTCGCACTACACTAACACACACTACACTACACTAACACACACTCTACACTAACACACACACACTGCACTCACTAACACACACACACACACACACACACACATACACACACATACACTCTCACACACACACACTGCACTAACACACACACACACACACACACACACACAACAAACTTCGAGACTGGACACACAATGTGCTCTTAATTTAAAACTATGTCCACGTGTGAAGAAATACATATACACAGTACCATATACATGTAACAAGACTGGACACACAATGTGCTCTTAATTTAAAACTATGTCCACGTGTGAAGACATACATATACACAGTACCATATACATGTAACAAGACTGGACACACAATGTGCTCTTATCTTAAAACTATGGACATGTGTGAAGACTACATATACACACTCTGATACATGCAATCACATACACACATGCACCAACACACGCTTACACTGATAACGTACATACATGAACTAGCACACACACACACACTCACACACACACATGCACCCAGTATTTCAAGCCCTGGCATATATTGAGGGAAAACTATCTTTGACAGAATTACACGTCCACGGGCCTTGGGTGAGGTAAGCTGGGTTGTCTGATTTGGAGAATCCATGTGGAAGCTTCAATTTGCAAGGGAGCTTGTATAATCACTCTTCTGGATAGGCTGTCCCGGTACTGTAGAATAAATGCAACACAAAGGTAAGGTATTATGATCTTATCTTTATGCAGCCCAAACCCACTAACTGTACGAAACTGGTGTATCACTGCTAAAAGTCTTACAATGTTTTTGCGAAACAAACAAGAGAAGTTGTGTACCAGCGGTATCTTGCAGTCACTCCATGAACTTGATGATGAAGTGGGGCGTAGGTCTGCACAGCATCTCCCAGACTCAGTCAGACTCCCACTAGTCCAAAGTGATGGGGATATCTTTAAAAAATTAGAATAACAAATATGTAATACACATGTAATCATAAATGTATGTAATTACATGTAATAACTACTAGTACTTCATTGCAACAGAATGCACCGGCGGGACATTACATTGTTTTGCTACAAAGCACCTTGACCCCATCAAAAGTGTTTCTACATACATGTATTTCTAGACACACAACTATCGATAGAAATCCATTTCTGCTGTGTATAAGATGCTTGAAATTTGTGACTACAGATGTGAGTTTTTGAAACAACCTTGACAGAGGCTGGTCTCTGCTGAAATAGTTCAAATTGGAACCTAAATGCCCTTGTATAATGCCTGCCAGGTTTTGTGAGATGGGTGTTGTTTAGGTTTGCTGCAACTATCTAGTCTTATTTCTTTGTCCTGTGGCAATGTTCTGTTGAAAACTAGTGGAGATGAATACAACATTTTTCAAAACCTCAGTTGTCAGTTAATATGCAAATCACTCCCTGTCGTCTGCTGCCATTGTTTCCATATGCAGTCTGCTTCAGACTCCCTGTGGCTTATAAGTTTATATAACCCATTGATGATGTTTGGGGTCATCTACTAGTACTAACGCCCTGACAGGAGGTAGCTTCTTATAGTGAGGACTATGGGTTCTCCTGCAGCGTAAGTAGGACAGTAATACACATCACTGTATCAGAGCCTTGTCTAAATTAAATAAATCGTATCCTCTCTTCTTATTAATCAGCATCTACATTCTGGCATGGCAACAGAAATCTTTGCCTATTTTCGACATGTCAACCACTTTTAGGGGGGGCAACAAAATTTCATGTTTTTTTTTCTTCATAAAATCAGGCAAAAAGTACGCTGATGTCATCCATAAAAATTACTTGCTGTGTCCTAAATTACCCTAAGCCACAGGGAGTCTGAACAGACTGGCACTGACAACAATGACAGCACATGGAAGGGAGTGATTTGCATATTAACTGACTTTTATCTGTAAACATGGAGAAATTAGGATGGAACTCTCCTCTTATCATAACAAAAGCTGCACATAACAAAAAATAACTGAATAACCGGTGAGTGGCCACCAGTGGCCAGTGTTTATAATGCTAATCTGTGCCTGCCTTTTAGTTTGATTCCAGAGGACTGGCACTGGAAACATTGACAAATGGAGTGATTTGCATATTAACTGACATCCATGTTTTGAAAAATGTAACTATTTATCTATTCTTTGTCCACTAGTTCGAGAAGCATTAGTACAGCGAAAAATGACAGATAGTTATAGTACCCTCAATTCATTATCTGTTGTCTGTCCGTTTTAGAATGTCTTGAAGAGAAACCTGTCTTGTTCACTATACTACGTTACCCGAATTTTATTGGGTGATTTTTATTTTTAGTACAATTTGGCCAGGGAGTTAGCCAGACAGAGAAGGCACATTTTTTTTACCCTGAGTAGAGTAGGCCGGCTAGCTCCCCTGGTATAGTATTCCCTTTATAATATTTTTGGCCAATTTCTACTATTTTTCCATCCACCCGCGGTGTCCGGTATAGGCTACATAAATTCATGCTAATCTGCCATCGCCATGCTGCCCTGACTCGGCGAACTACTGCCCATTATATAGCTGCAGTCAACAGTTCAAAATCAAATAACTTCATGCACTGATCGTCCACATAGACATTACAAAAAAACGACGAACAAAACTTTACTTAACGTTAGTACCTACCGCCGGATAGCAGCGCCACAACTTGGATGGAAAGCAGCGGAGAACTGGTTGGGCATGTCGTCAAATTTTATCCAAGACGTGCGACAATCCGTTATTTCACAGCTCTAACCAGGGATATTCCACTCTTGTACTCGGGTAAGGATTCCAGATATTTTCAAGTGCTACTACCAGTCGACAACATGCATACAACATACACAAGCACCTCATTTGTTGACAAGTACTAACTGTTGGGAAAAATGTGTTTTGTCTAGTATACCACTATATGAATCTCGTACAGAAACAAAGGTGGTCTGAGTGTGTCAGAGTATAACTTTTTTGGTTTGACTCACTCCACTGTCATTGCGCATGCGCTCCAGGCGGGGTACGGTACGAGCCAATCTCCCACTTTCTTGAAAAGGTACTGTGCTTCCTTCCATTAGTGAGCTAAATTATGGCAGCCCCTGTGTGCCCACTTGAGTTAGAGCTCCTCACCCGTCCTGACACCCCGTTATGTGACCTTATTGACTGGATGCAGGAGCGTGGCTTGTTGGCGACGAGCATGGACTGCAATAGATGCCCCCCAGGTGTGGAAATGGAGTTCCGGGAACGCGCTGACGTTCAGGACGAGCACACATGGAGATGCCCCCGATGCAGCACGTCGAAGTCAATCAGGGCAGGGAGCCTGTTTGCTGAGTTCCCCAAAATCCATCTCCGGGTGTGGTTGAGGTTTCTGTTCAAGTGGATGGAGGACAAGCTTACAACCAACATCAAGACCGAATTGGAGACAGTAGGCTACGTCAGCAAGACTACACTACTCGCCATGTGCAGACTGATCCGCTACTTGTGTGCGAGATATCTTGTTGATCATCCCCCAATCCCCATGGGTGGCCCTAATGTACTGTTGCAGATGGACGAATCGTGCTTCAGGAAGAAGCCCAAGTATGGTAGAGGGCAAAGGTCTAGACCCATATGGGTTTTCGGTATTGTGAGGACAGATGTCCAACCAGCTGTGGGCTACATGCAGGTTGTAGAACGTCGGGATGCTGCTACGCTGCTGCCCATCATACAGCGTTCCGTCCTACCTGGCTCTACAGTATACTCAGATGAATGGGCGGCATATCGTAATGTCGCACTACTACCTAATGTGGCACAGCACCACACAGTCAACCATTCGCTACATTTTGTTGACCCAGTAACAGGGATCCACACACAGCACATAGAAGCCTACTGGTCTCGCAAGAAGGAGAAGCTGCGCAGGATGCATGGCTGCTATGGGCCGGACACTCAATCATATCTCAATGAACTGATGTGGAGAGAGCGGTATTGCAAGACCCCAATTGAAGGCCTGCGGAATCTTTTGGTGTTCGTTGCTGATAAATATTCATTCTAAGATTCCATCCTTCTTCCCACCCACACCACACCCGGTCTTTCTTGCAAATCTTCCAAAATTACCTCACCAAACCGGTCTTTTTCAAGACCCTATGGCAGCCATTTGTGAGTGCCTCCTCGTGGCGGTTGCTGGGAAATATGCGGAGCTTTATAATACATATGGCTGTGATGCATAGCTAAATCTCACAGAAAGAAAGAAGTGCAAAAATCACTACACATATTACCTAACACTAACACTGGCTGAAAAATAAATATGCAACGACAAGGCAAAGGGCTCGCCCGTGAACAATTGTTGGTTAAACACTGAATCATATTGCTCCCGGGATCCCAAGGATTTATTATGTGATGTTGTTTGCGTAATTTTTAAGGGTTAGGCGGGCGAATGCGAATTATCGAGCGGGAGATATCGTCTTGATGCCACGAGTAATTAGCCACGAGGGGTGGAGCTAGAATAAACAGTCACATCATCATGCATCGGGTCTAATGTCACATGGCACGGCCAGACCCGACAAAGGCCATGACGTATTCTTGAGAATGTCACCCGGAGATCGATCAGGTCAGACTGCCCGGCGCCCTTGTGCCAGTTGATCTAAGACTGTTTGTTTTAGCGTCATTGTGACACATCTGCATTAGATAATTAATGCTAATCGTACGGTATGATAATGCCGGCGGCATCCTTTCACTCAAAACAATATTTTTGCATAGCAAAAAGATGTTTTACGCTTCAGTATACCTGCCTTACAGTCCGGAGTATAAACACAGCCGAATATGTTTTCAGGTTTGACCGAAACGACTATTTATTAAAAATAATTAAAAATACTTACCACGAGGAAAAATATCTGAGAATTACAAACATTCGACACAGAACAGCCATCACAAAACTCCGGATAAGTTCACACAAACTCCACATAGAAAAGGGAAGACACAACCACATTCCTCTACAGCAAAGGATCTGCCAATTTTGTAATCTAGATTATATTGAAGATGAATGCCATTTTGTAGTTGACTGCACATTATATAGAAACGAGAGGGATTCCCTCTATACTTTTGTAATAGATAAGTTCCCAAGTGTCACGAAGTGACAGTTATACATTAACTTAAGCACTTGTACTTTACCTTATACATTGTAGTAGCTATAGTTAGAACCCTTCCTTCGGGCGGGGGTTCGCTGCCTGTTCGAACACACCTTGCGCACGTGATCACCACGTGCGCACGCGGTGTTGAGCAGGTGTTCGAACAGGTAGCAACGACACCTGTTCGAAGGAAGGGGTTCTAGAAAGGTAACGTTGGGGAGATCAGACTTGAAAAGATTAAAGAAACGACAGGACGACATCTCTGAGTCTCCGTGTCTTCTCTACGCCACCGTGACACAAGCTTTAGACATTTAGATAGAATAGAAAAATTTGAATTCCTCATGAAACTTGACAAACCATGTATAATTAGCTCAATATGTTCGTACATCTTTAACTGCGTCAAGAAGCGAGAAGAAGCTGAACCTGTAAATAGTAGATCGCATTAGTTTATATAGTATGTAAGTGTCATTACTGTTTTCTTTTCCCTGTTTACCCATGACCTGTACTTAGCTCGTTAGAGCACAAGCGTACAATAAAGGTCTTTCATTCATTCATTCATTAAAAACATGTAACAAAGTAAATATGTAAACGTGTCACAAATTATGAATAATGTTTATTGCAAATTCATGCCCGAGGGAAACAAGAGAAACATATGGTTTAAAAACAAACAAAGGGTACACATAAAACTACATGTACTGATAACTACGAAGAAACTACTAGTAAAAACTACTGGGTTTGACTTCTTTTTTGAAGACAGAGGAATCCAAAGGATCCCACTTATTATATGAAGCAGAAATAGCCTATGAAACCCAAGCTCCGGGGGGCTCCCCACATAGACGGACTATCTAGGAGGCCGGCGAAAAGCGAGGTTCAGTCAAGCTATAAGAAATAAATCCCCATGGAATTTGTACAACGTATCGGAAATCGAACAAAGTTGATTGTACTGTAAACTGGCTGACTACTGGTAACTCCCTCTATGGAGGTAGACAAACCTCCATGCTCCATGCTTTTATCTCTCTATTTTGCCAATTACAAATGTACTACTATTTCCAGCCGCGCCTTACTCCATACTGGTTTATCTGACTGCAAGTAGGCATCGCATTCAGCATAAAGCCTAGCCTGGTATCCAGTCTGATTCGTGGTCGGGGCCGCAAGAGCTCTGGCCCGCCCGCCTCACATAAGCGTCCCGGTGTGTATTTCACGAGAGATTAATTAGCCCTCCTATCGTGTTGGGGGAAACCAAATCCCCGAGCATACTGTCTCTAAATAGCGTAACACTCCTACCGGGACGGTCTGTTGCACTGGGCGGGGGAAGGTCTTAGAGGCCCCGAAGACACATCCTGCCTAAACACCCCAATACCCCCAAACACGATCAGACTGGATACCAGGCTACATAAAGCCATATGTCAGACACAAAACTGCTAAAACTAATTCAGTTGTGAGAAAGTCAGATAAAAGTAGACATTTTGAGACACTGCGCTAGTTTGAACAGATTTCTCTGTTTCATGTGATAATACACAGTACAAAAGGTCACTCGTGTGAATGTCATACTTTTTGGACAAAATATGCTGTCTACAGCTCACTTTCAAACGCTGCGCTAGTTTGAACACGCATACTCTTGGACGAAATATGCTGTCTACAGCTCACTTTCAAACGCTGCGCTAGCTGCAGACGTAGTTAGGGTTAGGGCTAGGGTTAGGGGTACCGCCACAGAAAATAACAGATTTCTCTGTTTCATGGGATAATACACCGTACAAAAAGTCTCTCGTGTGAATGTCATACTTTTTGGACAAAATATGCTGTCTACAGCTCACTTTAAAACGCTGCGCTAGTTTGAACACGCAAGCGTGCAGAGCGTAAGACAAGGTGTTTGTGCGTTAGGGTTAGGGCTAGGGTTAGGGGTACCGCCACAGAAAATAACAGATTTCTCTGTTTCATGGGATAACAAACAGTACAAAAAGTCTCTCGTGTGAATGTCATACTTTTTGGACGAAATATGCTGTCTACAGCTCACTTTAAAACGCTGCGCTAGTTTGAACACGCAAGCGCGCAGAGCGTAAGACAAGGTGTCTGTGCGTTAGGGTTAGGGCTAGGGTTAGGGGTACCGCCACAGAAAATAACAAATTTCTCACTTTAAAACGCTGCGCTAGTTTGAACACGCAAGCGCACAGAGCATAAGACAAGGTGTCTGTGCGTTAGGGTTAGGGCTAGGGTTAGGGGTACCGCCACAGAAAATAACAGATTTCTCTGTTTCATGGGATAACAAACAGTACAAAAAGTCTCTCGAGTGAATGTCATACTTTTTGGACGAAATATGCTGTCTACAGCTCACTTTAAAACGCTGCGCTAGTTTGAACACGCAAGCGCACAGAGCGTAAGACAAGGTGTCTGTGCGTTAGGGTTAGGGCTAGGGTTAGGGGTACCGCCACAGAAAATAACAGATTTCTCTGTTTCATGGGATAATACACAGTACAAAAAGTCTCTCGTGTGAATGTCATACTTTTTGGACGAAATATGCTGTATATAGCTCACTTTAAAACGCTGCGCTAGTTTGAACACGCAAGCGCGCAGAGCATAAGACAAAGTGTCTGTGCGTTAGGGTTAGGGCTAGGGTTAGGGGTACCGCCACAGAAAATAACAGATTTCTCTGTTTCATGTGATAATACACAGTACAAAAAGTCTCTCGTGTGAATGTCATACTTTTTGGACGAAATATGCTGTCTACAGCTCACTTTAAAACGCTGCGCTAGTTTGAACACGCAAGCGCACAGAGCATAAGACAAGGTGTCTGTGCGTTAGGGTTAGGGCTAGGGTTAGGGGTACCGCCACAGAAAATAACAGATTTCTCTGTTTCATGTGATAATACACAGTACAAAAAGTCTCTCGAGTGAATGTCATACTTTTTGGACGAAATATGCTATCTACAGCTCACTCTAAAACGCTGCGCTAGTTTGAACACGCAAGCGCGCAAAGCGTAAGACAGGGTGTCTGAGTGAGCGTTAGAGTTAGGCCACAGAAAATGTACGTAAACGATCTTGCAACCATGTTAAACTTAAACTCACGATCATGTGACCCTCCTTTCTTAAAAGACACATCTATTAGTAGCTTATATTGGGCCGACGATCTTGTCCTCTTATCTGAGTCAGGGCTAAAGGAATGCTTAGG